ATGTATGCATAACACATGCATAGCTATACATACATACATACAGTGCACATTACTATACTTAAATATTTTATGTTTATTTTGCTCTGGCATTTTTTGTTTATTTCGCGCACTTGCCTGATTGGCCATCATTATTACTCATAAAATGTCAAAAACAACAACATTAAACGAGCATAAATATTTCTTTGCGTTGCAGTAAATGAAACAAAAGCGCCGAACAAATTTTTTATGCTTAATAGCTGCAATTGTAAATGGTTAAATATGTGTAAATAATAAAAACGTACGTATGTATATTTTAATTATTTGCATTCCTTTGTGCATTTATTGTAATTCGGGGAAAAAGCATGGTGTATTTCATACAAACACATAAATCTGTGTATGATGGATATGCAAAAATAAAAAATAAATATAGTTTTATTATTAATGCTTTTTTTGTTTTGGGGTGGTGCGTGTAGCGCGGTTAGATTTTCTGAAAATTTCCGGTTGATTTTGCACTGCCGCTGTACTATTACTTAGTTCGCTATTTTTTTATACATTCCATTTTCGATGTTATTTCTAATTTTTAAATAACATTAAATTTAAATTGCTTTTATTTTTAAGCAATTTATTCAGTTTATGAGAAATTCATTAAAATTTACCAATCTAAAAATATCTATTAACAAATAAGCCAATAACCAGGAAAAGTCATTTCTATCGATTCTTGATGATGCAGTCATGTAATATAGAATCTCGCACTTTCAATCATCAGACCGAAAACGGACTAATTCTAAATAACTCCATAATTTGGTAAGAAGTACAGTGGCCGAGTAGTAGAGAGCAGTGGGTTCGAGTCCTGACCAGAAAAACAATTAAAATTATAGAAATATATTTCTTTTAATTTTAATTCACACTATTTGATATAAACTAATTTAAATATATTTTATTTGATTTTATCTTATTTTACCTTAGTTTCTATAATATTTAAATTTATGTTATTTTATTATTTTTATTTTATTGCATTTTAAAATTTGATATGGTCACAAAAATAATAAAGATTTCAGCATTGCCCAAGACAGCCCTTATTTTGTTTGGTTTAATTTATATAAATTATTTATTAAAATATTATTCGAAGTCAAACTGAATTTATTTGATAAATAAGCCTAATTAATTAATTTTAATTATTTTTTGACTCCTTTTGTTTCAATAAACTCAGATATATGTATTTTAATTGAGACTAAATTAATGTACAATAATTTCATTTAATATTATTTACTTATTCTATTCTTTTATGTTTTTTATATTTATTTATTTGTTTTTCTTTTATTTCATTTAATTAACATCAATTAAATTAAATTTTATTTTATTAAATATTTTAATAATTATAATTTAATTTTACTAAATTTTTCTTCATGTTGTTTCAAGTAATACTTTTTTAATTAATACTATGCATATGAGCTAGCTGAACTGCCTCCATATTTTCTAGATAAAAATTTCCTTATATAATTTTTTTTGTTATTTTAACAAATTTTTCGATTTATTGCTGGTGGACAAGTAGGTATTGAAAGACTATTTCATTAAACAAATAATAGTGGTTTTATGTAGGTATAGAAGCATACTGAACAATTCTGCAAACAAAGCCGTAAAATAAATAAATATAAAAATTGTAGGGAACTAGGCTGATTGAATGTATATATATATGTGCACATGAAGCCCCAAATATGTGTCGAACTATGTATACAAATGATCGGGTATGCGATCGCTTTTTTATTTACCTCGTTACTTCATTTGCGTTTGTTTTGTTTTAACACTGGCGCTATTTACAAGTACATTACTTACATATGTGTTCTTCTAAGGCGTGCTTTGGCGCTTTATTACTGTTTGGTTAAAAATATTTTTATGCGATTGTTTGTCACCACTATCCGTTTCCAATAATATTTTTAATAATATTGTTTTACTTAAAAAAGTACTGGCGCCAGTCTTGACAAAATTTTAGACACGAGACGTATTATTTAAGGTTGATAATAAAGAATTTTGTGCTCTTTACGGTTATTGAATTAGGCATGCAACTGTTTTTCTTACATTTCTTTGAAATCAAACGTACTTAAATCTTATGAATTTAATTTCAATTGATTTGAAAATTGCGGGATAAGTGGCTTACTATAGCTAATACATAATTTTTGTTCTATTTAAATATGAATTTATACTATTTTCAATTTGAAAATTTTAAATTAAAAAAAATTAGTGAAACTACTAAAATTAATACAATTATTTTTTTTTTAATACATTTCAAAATATTCTCTTAGTTTAGCATAACATCTTTTTACTTCAGCCATACTTTAATAATTGAGCAGGTAATACACATATGTAAACGCTCGTATATGAGTTTCTGTGCACACTAACTACGCGAATATGTATTAAATGACATAGTATTCCAGCACCCACATAAATTGTATATAAATTTCATTTATAGAAAAACAAAAAGGTTTTTTTTTTTTAATAACAACACTACAAGTAAGTCAACTGCTATTTTTAATACATTTTAATTACTATTCAGAATTGAAAAAATGCAACAAAGTGTGAAATATTATTTTACAGTCAACACCCATACACAGTAAGCAATGAACGTAAATTGCAACAGATGAATGAAAATGAAGGTGTGACGGCAATACGAACACGACTGGTGCTAGTGGGGTAAAAGAAGGTCAATATATGTATATATAGCAGTTATTTAAAATATTGTAATAGATCAAGGCTGGATTAATATAATATTTTTTTTAGTTATTTTCTTCTTTTCTTTAAACAAGAATTAAAAATAAAAGTAGTATATTTCTTTATTTACTTGAAATTTCTTTTTGTTATTAAAGGTGTATAGATATTTCAAAAAAATTACCTAATCAGAGTTCATTAAAATTTATGATTGATATGCCTAAACGGAATACTTTTGTTATTTGCAAATTGACCAGGGTCCTGACCAAACCAAGTTCAATTTGCTAGTAAAATAAATAAATCGTTCTTTACGGCACCGACAGATTGACGAAAATACATTATATAATCATAGATATAGGCATAGATAGTACCTAGGTGACCTCGCAGTTTTGTATTATTTTTCTGCCGCGAGTTCAACTTTAGTGTGATTAAACATAGATCCAAAAGCTGCGCTTGCTTTACTTCGGGGCAGTCATATTGATATTACCATGAAAGACTTTGAGCAGTGTTGAATTGACCCACAAAGTCAAATAAGTCGACAGATCAATAATATAATAATACTTTGACATAGGTGATGCTTGATTAGGATTTATTATGATTCTTGGCATTAACAATTAAAATAAAAATTGGACAAAATACAGATGGCTACAGTAAAGTGTAGCTGGGTACGCTAACTCTAGTGATGAGTAACATTCAATTGTTTAAAAATATCTTTAAATGTTTGAGTTATGATTGTACTTCTTATTAGAGGCATAGATTTTGAATCAAGGGTGTTTAATGCACTCAGTTAGATCTCAGTGGTCGATTGCACTCTACTTTAATCACTTTAACAAAAATTTTAAACCTGAACGTAAAATGGAAGTTTTTCTGTGTTTTGTTTGCTTTATTTATACAATAGTCTTGTTCCCTAATATGGCTACCAAAATAAGAGTTGTGGATTAGCAAAGCCCCAAAGTTATGTGACAGAATGATCATATGATTGCTTTAGATGTGAATGCCAAGTCAAGAGGCTGCCATCTTTGTAGTCTTCTCACTTTCTTGCTGTTGTTTGGCAAGCGGATGGCTTGTGTCTGGCCGATTGCTTAGTCTCCCGATATGTCTTGTATTTCTTACACAATATATATATATATATATATAGATGTAGATAAAGGTTTTTTGTTCCCATTCAGCAATCGCTATTAGTCTAAGTGATTTTGATGTAAACTTTTATACCACGTATATGCTGAACTTACACGCTATATTCAAGATTTGAATTCCGTAAAACAAAATGAAAAATATGATGGTTAAAAAGGCATGGATCCATCTGTTAGTCCAGTAAAGTAATTCATTTTTTCTGTATTAAATTGACGGTTTCATTTACTATCATCCGATTTGTATCAAATATGCTCCTTTTTGCTGGATACATTTTTATTATTTTGAAAGTAATGCCATTATGCCTCGCTCATAGAAACTCTTGTTCTGATTGGTAAGTCAGAAACAGATGTCAATCACTTGGTGCAAGGTCTGGACTATAAGGTGAATGCATAAAAACTTCTCAATCAAGCTCTTGGAGCTTCTGGTGAGTCACTCTTTGATATGTGAAGTCTGTCGTTGGTCAAAGCTGTGCGCTTCTGCACGAATGTTTTATGTAAACGCTTCAATTCCTGACACTAAAAATCCGAATTCAGAACTTAGCTGTAAAGGAACAACTCATAGTCGACATGTGAAATCACCACCTTTGCTGTAATCTGTAGAAAATTTTTGGAAGGTATTTTTTCTAGACTTAAAAAATTAAAACTCAATGGAAAGGAAAGATAACTGAGTTTCTCACAGAGCTCACCTGTTTCCAAGCTCAGTCCGGAGCTGTCCTTCAGTACGTCAGAGAAATACACATGTGGCTTAGCCCCGCTCTATTAGAACTTAAATAATACGAACTCATTTAATAACCTAAGAGTTTCAATAATTTCTCTTTTCACCTCAGCTGCTCTTAAAGCAAAAAGCCGGCTATATTAGTACAAAACATGAACATAAAAAGCCGGCTTGGTACTAAAAAAAAATACAAAATATTGCTTAGCAGCACAAGGAAAAATCAAAAGTCAAAGCATCACAAATACACAGCAGCAAACAAAAAAGTGGTAACAGAGAGCCACAATTGCTGTTGCGGCCAAGAAAGAGCGCTTTAACGCCTCTACACCAACGTGTACTAAGCAACAACAAGCCTCCCTTTGTAGCTGCTGTTGCTGCTGCCGAGCGCCAAACGGCATGATGATGTCAGCGGCGAAAATTTATTTAATGCGCAACGCAGTCAAGCAACTCTTTTAGTACAGCGTTGGCGGGCAACAGCGACGGTTCGGTATCATAAGCGTGTGAAAAAATCATATAAAATTGAAAAAACCATTAAGTAGAAGAAACTTGGCCGAAAGTGCACCGAATACGGTGTGAAACAAGTTTTATTTTTTTACATATATTCGCAATTTGACTTATTGGTATCAAAAAGTATGTGTAAAGAAATTTACAAATATATAGTTTTTTATGACACCTAAAGCACAAGAAAAGTGTATAAATCGGGATATTTCTAGCAAAAGTGACTGAAAAATATTATTATTTTCAACAAAACGAAGTGCTAAAGCTGCAGAAGTTGATTTGCGCTAATGATTAGAAATTGTAAAAATCGCAACAAAAGTGACAGCAGTGAACTCGAAAATAATAAAGCGTGAAACAAAAGCCAAACAAATAAAAAATATCTATAAAAAATTCGCAAAGCGAAATGAACATTAACTTAGTGAGCATATACAGACACAGCGAATGCGAGGAGCGCAATTTGTGTTTGCATCTTTTTGTTTCATTATTTATTTTCCTGCTTTTTGCACTGAATTTAATTGCTTGTGTGTGACTTTGAAGTGATTTCGATTTTTTTTGTAGAGCGGTAGCAGCAAGAAATCAAATTTTAGAAGGGATATGATGTCAGCAGGGGTCGAAAAAAATAGTACAAAATTTTAGAAGCGTGCATAAGAAGTGGTCGTTAGACACTATTCGGAGAAGGCAAAGAGTAATGAGTAGAATTTGGAGACTGCAGAATTTTTTCCTCTTGATAAAAAAACCATTCTACACATTGATGTGATTAGTATATGGAGCAACAATCGAACGTTTTCTGTTTCAGTAGTATACGTATTTCTAAGCCTATGCACTAAACGAGACTAAGCAAGCTGCTAAGCTATAGTTCACAATGAACCCATAAAGTAGGCTTATTGTGCTTCAGCTAAGGATATAAAAGTAGTAGTATTAGTTTGGAGTTTAGAAAAATCGTTTCCTTCCTCAGATTTTAAATATTTCTGAGGATATGAAAATGATTCCGGTGCCATTTATTTTTATACTCCCACAAAAATCTGAATTTCACCTTTAATTAAAAAAAGTAAATGAAATAAAATGAAACAATTAAGATAAATAAAATAATATAAATTAAAATAAAACAAAAAAATACAATAAAACAAAATTTATAAAATCAAATGAAATAATATAAAATAAAATAATATAAATTAAAATAATACAAAATATAATCAAATAATATAAAAAAAAATGAAATAATTAATTAATAAAACTATAACCTTAAATTAAATTAAATAAATTATAAGATATTAAAAAAATGAAATGAAAAAAATAAAATAAAATAAAATAAAAAAAGATAAAATAAAATAAAATAAAATAAAATAAAATAAAATAAAATAAATTAAAATAAAATAAATTAAAATGAAATAAAATAAAATAAATTAAAATAAAATAAAATATACTGAAAAATAAAAAAAGGAAATAAGATAAAGTAAGCAAAACAAAATAAAATTAAATTGAATTAAAAAAAATAGCTTATTACTCTGGAAAGTGCAGAAGCTAATTGGAAACCGAACTATCTACTATGTATTTCAACCAATATTTAATAAAAATTTATGTTAAACTTACTTTTTCTCAGCTCATGAAAGTACATTAAAATACGAAATGTAATGAAACGTAAAATTTTAACAGAAAAGTCACTATGCACATTACTATAGTGCCACACCAAGTGTTTCGAGACAAGAAAAATACTCGCCACTTAAGCACAATATGTAAGAAAGTTGCATACAAAACAAATTGTATGGAGCAGCGAACAATAAAAGTGGTCATAGCCTCATTTTTCCAGCTACTTTTGCTGCTGCAGACGACAATTCAAAACTCTCAAAAGAAAGTGAAAGAAATCAAAACAAAAACGCATACAAGCCGAAAGTCAGACAATTATGCCTTAATTGTATTATTTTGCAGACATTTATTTGATTGACGCTTTTAAGCGACGAGTGTTCGTTCAGTCTTTGCACTCGTAAGAGTGTGAAAAAGGGAAAAGCTCTGAATGAATATATAAACATTAAAGAATGATGCAGGAAAATTAGGAGAAAATTTGTAGTTGTGAAAAAGTATAAGACGAACTAAATAAACATAATTTGAAAGAGAATTATTAAAAAAAATCTTTAAAAATAAATGTTATTTTATTTGATAAACAAAAAAGTTATGATAGTGAAGAGTATAAAGGAAATGAAGTAACTAAATTTGTTTAATAGTTGTTTTAATTAATATATTACTTTGAAGTGAAAGTTAGACCAAATACAATTTTCAAACCAAATATATTTTATTCTTTTTGCTGAACGATTTTAGAGGGTGAAGCTTTATCGATTCAGATATGAAATCACAGAAACCACAAAAAACTTGCAGAGTTGGTGTTGGTGTAAGGAAAATCAATGTATTTTGTGGCTGATAAAATTGCATTGAAGTAAGCAACAAAAAAGTGGCAACGCAAACCGCTTGAGGAGTAGTTTTTCTGTGGCTGCGTCCGCGGCTTATATTTCCTGTTAAAGAGCGCTCACAATGCGGCAGTAGACAAAACGGGTTTTGTGCACTGAAGTTAGAAAAACAGCTGTTACTGTTGAGACAATAGATAGACAGTTTACTAATAAAGAAATTGGGAACAAAGACAGGGAAAGAAAACGTAATTAGATGTGGAAGTTTCATTTGTATCTGATGTAATATATTCTAAGAAAAAGATGTTACTATTTCTACAAATTTATAAAGCAAACATAACTCCTCTGCCCTGTGCTCTATATGCAGTAAGCTAGACTCATACCGCCTTGAATGCTAAAACTACTGAAAGTTTTTAATGAAATTGAGGAAAATAAAAATTAGATAATTTAAAAAAAAAACATTATAAAATTTAATAGAAACAAAATGATAAAATATAAGCTAAAATAAATTGAAACAAAATCAAGGGAAATGAACGGAAAGTACATTATATGAAAACCAATTGAAATCCAATCTAAAATAAAAAATTAGAAATGATTTAACAATAACCTTAAACATTAAAAATAAATCAAATTAAATTAACGAATAAAAGCAAAAGCAAAATAAAATAACATAAACAAAATAATATGAAAATAAAACTACAAAAAAAATAAATAAATAAATAATTGAAAATAAAATAAAAACTATTTTTAACAAATTAATTTACTAAAATATAACCAAATTAAGTTAAAACAAATTCATTAAAATAAAAAAACAAAACTTTAAATAAGTTTAAAAAAATAAAAAATTTATTAAAATTAAAGTTAAAAACATAAAACCAAATAAAATAAAAGAAAGAGAGTAAAACAAAGCAAAGTAAAATAGAATAATATGTATAAAATAATTTAAAAAAAAAAATAAATTAAATTAAAATAAAAAAATAAAGTATAGTAAATAAAAATAAAATAAAATAACATAATACAGCTACATTTATTAGCAATACAAAATATAATCAAATAAACTAAATTAAAAACAAATAATATAAGAAAAAAAATTAAAAATGCTAAATCACATAAAACAACACAAAAATATAATATAAATAAATGTAAGTAAAATAAAAAACTAAGACAAATGAAAAAACAAAAATTTAAAACATTATTAAATTAAATAACCTAAAATCAAATAAATATAAAATGAAATAAAAATAATTGGCATTAGACGAAGAAATAAAATAAACTATATTAACATAAAATAAATTAAAGTATAATAAAGTTAAACCAACTAATTTAAGTACAATTAAGTGAAAAAAAATAATAATAAGAAATAAAAAATTAATAAATAATTCAAAATCAAACAAAATAATCAAAAAAAATTAAGAATAAAAATGAAGCGAAAAAAATCAAACAAAATAAAATAAAGTAAAATGGAAACTAGAATTTTCTTTTAGATCAACTCAAATTATATAATTTTTGATTAGAAGCGTATAGGAAAAAATTTCTACCGACAAGAGCTAATTATCGTAATAAAAGTTAAAAAAAATAACACTGTGTGTGAGTGACTTCATTTTTTTATTGTTCTTTATGTGTCTGGCGTACTTGAACGAGACACTGAGCATAGTTAAACAAGGCACAGAACCAGTTAAGAGCAACCACGCATTTTGCCGTACAGAACTATTATTTAAAGGTAGGTGGAACTAAGATATTTTTAATTAAAACTGTACTATGTATATAAGCATACATATATAATGCTTCATTTATGATTTATGGTTTTGAAATTTATTATAAATTAATGCAAGAGTTAAATGGAAATAGTTTAGTTGATTATATGGGTTAAAAAAAACATTCAAATAACGAGTATATAAAATAAAAACTAGAAAGGGAGTTTAAAATACATTTTAAAATTTCTACTTAAGGCTATATTAAGTTAAGTCATATTGTTGCAGGTTTTTAATTTTTTTTTTGTTAATTTATCTTCTGCTTTTATATTTTTTATATAAATTCTTATAATAATTTATGCTGTCTTTCTTGCAACTTTCAAATGCATTTTTAAATTAGTTATATAATAGCAAAAATTCCACAAAATATATAAAATTAAGTAAAAAAAATGCCACCCAATAAAATATATGCATATTTAAAAGCTTCGATTTCGCTTTTTGTTTTCTGCTTTACCGAAATTTTTGTCTCGTTTTAATATTAAGTGACCTTCATTTATTTTATGCCATTTGACATTGAAGGCTTTTATATATATTATTTATATGCATATATATATATATATATATAGTACTGCTCCAAACTATAAAAATTGCACACTGAAGAACTGTAAATTAAAGTCACCTCATGTGACTCTGTAAATTTTATGTCAATCATTTGACATTGATCTTAACCACCGCCTACACTTTTGAATAGTCAATTTCAGTAGAATTTACGACACTCTTTAGTATAAATCAGAAGAGCTAAGCAACAAACTAGCCGGCGGTGTTGCAGTGGAGTGCAGTGTGTATGTAAATATGTGTATGCACTTAACTTATGATATATGAGACCTTTTATTATGAAATATGGTAGCATAATTAATTTTTATATTGTAAATGATATTCACATATACCTATGTATGTGCATACATACAAAGTTTCCAAATATTGTGCTTTGTGTTTGGAGTTATGAGTAATAACGGTTTAAGAGTGAGATACAAGTTATTGGTTTATAGTAGTTAAATACTTCTAAAAACATTTTTTACTGCTTTATATGTATGCAGTAGTAAATGCTCAATATAATAAAACCCTAAGTTAATGTTAATATGCATATGTACAAGCAGGTGTACATGCAAAAATTATCACTATGTGTGTCAGTGCATTAACCACGAGTAATCGCTTGAGTATTTCTATTACGCATCGACAGCTGTTTTTGGCACTTTTTATGACGAATTGGTATTTCTGCTAATATTCACGGCCAATTTGCATTTTTTCGCCGTTTATTCGCATGCTGAATACTATATATATATGTATTTATTTATCTTTACAAACAAACCGAATTCGTCTACTATTGTGGAAGTGTGTACTATTCTGGCCTACTATGTTAACAAATGAATAATTCATGGAAAAAATATAAGCAAACCTAGAGTATATATAACAATTTTTTTTTTTTTTGCATATTCGAGGATTTCATTTGAACTCTTTTTTTCCATTTGACCGAGTATATGAGTAGCGTACTATTTATCTATGTCGTCACAATGTTCTTTGGAATTTCGCGTGATGTTATTATGGGGCGTGAAATGGTTATACACACAAATCAGAATTATAATATTCTGTTTTTGTTTTCATTATTATTTGCCCACAACGTCGGTTATACAAATAAAAATATTTGCAAGTTCAAGTAGGGGCATTTCTTTTTAATTTCATACAAACAATTTTATGCAATTTAATAAGCAGTTTGGGCTTAACCGGAATTTGGGGATGTATTTTTGAATAGTAAAATGCAAATTTTTTGGTTACTCAGAAAAAAAATATATTCCTTGAAATGTGTTAATTTATGAATTATTTATTCCCTTATGAGCAAGAAGTACTGCATTAATTTAAGCATACCATAGACAAAGTTTGAGTTATATATATTAATGTATCTGAAAAAATGGAAATTGATTAAATGAGGAATATTAATTTTGTATCTTGATTTTTGTTTATTTATATTGGAAGTATAAAAAATATAATAAAAAAAAATCATTTTATATAAAATTAAATCAAACACAATAAGATAATACCAAATAAAATGGAAAAATTAGGTTAAATAAAATAAACGGAAAAAAATTAAAGTTAATTTAGAAAAAGTAAAACAAAATTAATTTAAATTAAAAAGATACAAAAATAAATAAAGTTAAATTTAAAAAAAGTAATATATAATAAAATACAAAAATAATTTAAAAAAAATATTTAAAATGAAAGTAACTTAAATGTAATAAAATAAATTAAAATAAAATAAAATATAATATTATAGTTAGGATATCATTATATTAGGATAGCTTTTAGAAGCTTTGCTGAGGTGGCGCTCATTGCGTATGGCGGTTGAACGAAATTTTGTCTTTCTAAAAAGAAGCCGACTTCAGATTATTCCAAATGCACAGAGATTTCTTTCCTTTTTTGAAGATTATGAAGGAAGCATCCAATTGTGGTTGGTGTTTCTTAGGGCCAAAGCTATAAACATATTAAATGCAAAAGCAAGAAACGAATTCAAGTTTCAAGCCCGTCATGAACTGAGATAATAATTTGTCATTTATTTGTTTCCAAAATTTTAATTAATGGAGTATATAAATAAAAGGAAACTTCTAGAGGATATCAGTTTGAATCTCTATATATTCCTTTACCATTTTCAATTGCCCTGTGCAATTCATTTAGTATCTTCATATTTCTTACTTTTATATATTTCTCAACTCCATAAGAAATTACATTTGAACTCTGGGTTAAAAAACTGTTAGCGGATACCATTTTGCATATGAAAAAAAATAATAATAATAATTACAAGAAAGCAAGCGCTCAAAGGAAATCCATTAAAAATCTATGTCGGTTTGCTGGAAATTGTGGTGAAAGAAAATGTGTAAAATGGCACGAAAAATTGCTAATGTCAGTGTCAAAGTGTCAAAATATGATGAAAATCTAAGCCGAACGTACTAATGCCACAGGCAGTAAGTAGCAGCGAACTCGCTGCTCCTTAAATCGCTCACACTCACTCGCTCAATCGCCGACCAAGTATGCGCACAATCGTTCGCTCACTCGCTCGGCCATACGTTTGCCGTTTACGTTACGTCAGCTATGTTAACAGTCACAGCAAAACACGTTGCAAAAAAAAAGAGCAAATAAACATGTAGAAAAATAAACCAGTCGGACAGGCCCGCCAAGTGCAGTCAGAGAATTATTGCAAATGAGTTGTTGGTGATTTACCAGCTGTTTGGCGGTGGACGTGTCTCAAATTGTGAACGTGCGGTTGTGGCAGTTAGTTGTTGTCAAACACACACACACAAACGCACACAATCTCGTACAAATAAAACAAAACACATACAAATTAAGTTTGACTATTTGACTTTAACTGTAAGTTTCAATTACATACTAATTGCAAGCATTTAAGCGGTCATTTAAATGGGTAAAGTAATGCATAAATGCAAAAACAAATAAACAAAAAAAAAAAAAAATTCACAGAAGGAGTAGTACGTATGTATTTGTACACAATGGCGTCTGAGTCAACGGCAAATTATGTTTGGTAAACGTGTTGGCACCTAAATATGTTTTTTTTTGCACGTGAGGTTTCGAGCTACAAATATAAGAATAACTAAGTATTCGTCAGTTGGACTGTCAGGCAATTTTCTATGTACTACTGCATCACGTAATTAATTACTGCATACTCTTCATTAATATTTTATTATTTTTATTTGATCTACGCAGACATAGGTTGGGTTTTGCACATGCATTTCTTGGCTTTTATAAGACTTGATTGTTCTTTTTTTTTTTGTTGCAAAATGTGTGCTGGCGTGCAGCCAGACCAATAACCCACTTTATTGAATACAAATTATTAAGTCACACATAATCGGACCCAAAAGGCCTTATATTTTTTATTACACATTTTTTATTTAATTTATTTTTTGGTAGAATTGCTGTACATAATTTCAATTACCTTTCATTGCCAAATATACACGTAATTTATGGCTACACCCGAGTTGTTGACACTTTTCGCGTAGACATAAAAAGAGGGAAATGAATATACCAGCACAGTTATGCAAATTCAAATATAAGTAAAACAAAATCGTAAAATCAAAAAAGGAGAATAAAATTAACTTGAATACAAAAAAATTTAAGCAAAATATAATGAAAAAAATAAATTAAAAATAAATAAAAATAATAAAAAAAGATTAAAGTAAAATAAAATAAAAAAATTTATTGAAACAAAATGAATTAAAATAAAATAAACAAGATATAAAATTTAAAAGAATATATAATAAAGTAAAATAAAATAAATGAATATAAAACAACATAAAATCAAATCTAATAAAATACACTAAATAAAATTAAACAAAAATAAAGAGAAATAAATTAATATAAGACAGATTAAAATATAAAACTAAACTATATTCGATTGAATTAAATTGGCGGTGTCCGAGTTTTTAGCATTGCCATTCGGAAGGCTCGGGTTCAAATCTCAGTGCGACCAACAAGTTATACAAAATTAATTTACATAAAAAAATTAAGCGAAATTTTCTAATTGCCCCTCCACAAGGAATGTCAAGCCCTCCGAGTGTATTTCTGGCAGTGAATAAAGCTGCTCATAAAAAAACCCATCAGCTGTAGTATAAACTGTAGGTCCCTCCATTTGTTGGAAAGACATCAAGACGCAAAACAACAAATTGAAGGAGGAGCTCGGCGGTTACAAAGCGCCAATTATATATATATATATATAATTAAATTAAATTAAATGAAATAAAAAAATTATCTAAGATAAAATAAAATATAATAAACTGAATGAAAATAAAATGAAATAGAAAATAATAAAATAAATTAAATAATATGCAGTATACTTAAATTAAATAAAAATAAATAAAAAAATTAAGTAAAATAAAACACAATTACATTATATAAAAAAAATAAATTTAAGAAAATATATTAATTTAAAGTAAAATAGAATAAAATGAAGTAAAATAACGAAAGAAAT